TATTTAGTTTTTGACAGTTTGATTAATATGTGTCTTGGCGTGTTTCTCCTTGGATTTATCCTGTATGGGACTCTCTGTGCTTCCTGGACTTGATTAACTATTTCCTTTCCCATATTAGGGAAGTTTACAACTATAATCTCTTCAAATATTTTCTCAGTCCCTTTCTTTTTCTCTTCTTCTTCTGGAACCCCTATAATTCGAATGTTGGTGTGTTCAGTGTTGTCCCAGAGGTCTCTGAGACTGTCCTCAGTTCTTTTCATTCTTTTTTCTTTATTCTTCTCTGCAGTAGTTATTTCCACTATTTTATCTTCCAGGTCACTTATCTGTTCTTCTGCCTCAGTTATTCTGCTATTGATTCCCATCTAGAGTATTTTTAATTTCATTTATTGTGTTGTTCATCGTTGCTTGTTTCATCTTTAGTTCTTCTAGGTCCTTGTTAAATGTTTCTTGCATTTTCTCTGTCCTAGTTCCAAGATTTTGGATCATCTTTACTATCATTATTCTGAATTCTTTTTCAGGTAGACTGCCTATTTCCTCTTCATTTGTTAGGTCTGGTGGGTTTTTATCTTGCTCCTTCATCTGCTGTGTGTTTTTCTCTCTTCTCATTTTGCTTATCTTACTGTTTGGGGTCTCCTTTTTGCAGGCTGCAGGTTCGTAGTTCCCGTTGTTTTTGATGTCTGTCCCCAGTGGCTAAAGTTGGTTCAGTGGGTTGTGTAGGCTTCCTGGTGGAAGGGACTCTTGCCTGTGTTCTGGTGGCTGAGGCTGGATCTTGTCTTTCTGGTGGGGAGGTCAACGTCTGGTGGTGTGTTTTGGGGTGTCTGTGGACTTATTATGATTTTAGGCAGCCTCTCTGCTAATGGGTGGTGTTGTGTTCCTGTCTTGCTAGTTGTTTGGCATAGGGTGTCCAGCACTGTTGATTTCTGGTCGTTGAGTGGAGCTGGGTCTTAGCGTTGAGACAGATATCTCTGGAAGAGCTTTCACCATTTGATATTATGTGGAGCTAGTAGGTCTCTGGTGGACCAATGTCCTGAACTCGGCTCTCCCATCTCAGAGGCACAGGCCTGATACCTGGGGAGCACCAAGACCCTGTTAGCCACACGGCTTAGAAGGAAAGGGAGGAAGGCAGGGAGGGAGGGAGGGAGGGAGCAAGGAAATAAAAAGAAAGTTATTAGAATAAAGAATAAAAATAATTATTAATAATAAACAATTTAAAAAGTAGTAAAAAAATAAGAAAGAAAGAAGAGAGTAACCAAACCAAAAAACAAATCTACAAATGATAACAAGCGCTAAAAACTGTACTAAAACAAACAAAAAAACGGACAGACAGAACCCTAGGACAAATGGTAACAACTATACAGACAAAATCACACAAAGAAGCATACACATACACACTCACAAAAAGAGAAAAAGGGAAAATATATATATCTCTATATAAAAAGAAAAAGGAAGAGAGCAACCAAATCAGTAAACAAATCTACCAATGAAAATAAATGCTAAATACTAAACTAAGATAAAAATTAAAACCAGAAACCTGTCAGTCGCATACAGCAAATCCCAAGTCTACAGTTGCTCCCAAAGTCCGCCTTCTCAATTTGGGATGATTCGTTGTCTATTCAGGTATTCCAGTGATGCAGGGTACATCAAGTTGATTGTGGAGCGTTAATCCTCTGCTCCTGAGGCTGCTGGGAGAGATTTCCCTTTCTCTTCTTTGTTTGCGCAGCTCCTGGGGTTCAGCTTTGTATTTGGCCTTGCCTCTGCGTGTAGGTCACCTGAGGGCGTCTGTTCTTTGCTCAGAAGGGGGTTAAAGGAGCTGCTGATTTGGGGGCTCTGGCTCACTCAGGCCGGGGGAGGGAGGGGTACAGAAAGTAGGGCGAGCCTGCGGCCGCAGAGGCCGGTGTGATGTTGCACCAGCCTGAGGCGCGCCGTGCGTTCTCCCGGGGTAGTTGTCCCTGGATCACGGGACCCTGGCAGTGGCGGGCTGCACAGGCTCCCCGGAAGGGAGGTGTGGATAGTGACCTGTGCTTACACACAGGTTTCTTGGTGGCAGCAGCAGCAGCCTTAGTGTCTCATGCCCGTCTCTGGGGTCCGCGCTGATAGCCGCGGCTCGCGCGCGTCTCTGGAGCTCGTTTAGGTGGTGCTCTGAATCCCCTCTCCTCGCACTCCCGAAACAGTGGTCTCTTGCGTGTTAGGCAGTTACAGACTTTTTCCCGGACTCCCTCCTGGCTAGCTGTGGTGCACTAGCCCACACAGCTGTGTTCGCTCAGCCAACCTCAGTCCTCTCCCTGGGATCCCGAGCCTCAGCTCCCAGCCCCCACTCGCCCCGGCGGGTAAGCAGACAAGCCTCTCGGGCTGGTGAGTGCCGGTCGGCACCCATCCTCTGTGTGGGAATCTCTCCGCTTTGCCCTCTGCACCCCTGTTGCTGTGCTCTCCTCCGTGGCTCCGAAGCTTCCCCTCTGCCACCCCCGTCTCTGCCCGTGAAGGGGCTTCTAGTGTGTGGAAACTTTTCCTCCTTCACAGCTCCCTCCGTGAGGTGCAGGTCCTGTTCCTATTCTTTTGTCTGTTTTTTCTTTTGCCCTACCCAGGTACTTGGGGGAGTTTCTTGCCTTTTGGGAAGTCTGAGGTCTTCTGCCAGCGTTCAGTAGGAGTTGTTCCACATGTAGATGTATTTCTGATGTATTTGTGGGGAGGAAGGTGAACCCCACATCTTACTCCTCTGCCATCTTGAAGGTCCGAGCTATAAAGAACTCTTAAAACTAAATAGTAAAAAAAAAAAAAGAAAGAAAGTGATGCCCAATGTTGAGTGAAGTAGAAATGCTTGAGCTATCTTGGCAGATAGTAGAAGGCTGAGGAAAGTGGCCAAGGACGAATGACTACATTATGTGAGGATACAAAACATATCCATTGATTGTATTCCATGAGAGAGCTCAGGAAACACACCATTCACCAAGGCCATCAGGAAAGCACTGGTGAGAGTAGCACTAGCATCACAGTGGTGGCTCTTCTCTACAGGTCAGGGCTCATTGTAGGAGAGGTGGTCGCAGAGCTGAGTTCATACATATCCATGGGGATGAGGCGCTTCATTGTAATAGAGACCATAATAATTGAAATGACCTTCAGGGTCTGAGGGAACAGCCAAGGGACTTGAGCTGCATGGAGTTGCGGAGATGGTAATAGAGCATGATGTCCCCAGGAGAAAAATAGGTAGCAAAGCATGGCAGGTATATACTATGATGATTTCCCTAGTTCTTTTCCCAAAGGGACCTGTGGACGTTTACTTGGGTGATTGTATATTGGGAAAGGCAAAATACCCAGACATTTTTAGACCCACAGTCTGAGTTGACATTGATACCTGGAGACCCAAAGCATCAGCATAGTTCTAATAGAGTGGACCTCTAATAGGCCTACAGGGACCACATAATAAATGAAGTCCTTGCTCACATCTGGCTCCAAGTGGGCCTGCTGGGTTTGTGGATACACTCAGTGGTCATTTCTCCTGTTCCTGATTGCATTGATATAGTTGCATGTTAGGGTAGCCCTCATGTTGGGTTCTTAGTCTGTGGGGTAAAAGATATAATGAGGAAGGCCAAGTGGGAAGCTTTGAAATTGTTCTTTCCTCTCCCAGCCACGATAATAAATCAGAAACAATATCACATCCCTGGAGCACGACTGAAGACTATTGCTGGCTTAAACAAGCAATAGCCTTCATCATAGCTACTGTGCCAGATATGATGTAATTGCTAGAGTAGATCAGTAAGACTTCAGGTACATGGTATATGGCCATTAATCTGACAAAAGCATTCTTTTCAGTTCCAGTCAGAAAAGAGGGCCATAACAGTTTGTATTCACGAGGGATGGCCAACAATATTCTTTACATTTTGGCCTCAGGGCTATGTCAGCTTTCCTGCCCAGTCATAATATAGCTTGATGAGATCTGGACAGCTTGGGCATTCCACAGACCATCACACTGATCCATTTCATTGATGGCATGCTGATGTGCTCTAGAGGATGGGAGAAAAACCCTACAAAGATTCAGGAACCTGCCATTTCAGTGAAGTTTTTAGGATTCCAATGGTCAGGAGTATGTTGGGATAGCTCTCCAAAGTAAAAAACAAATCACTGCATCTTGTGTCCCCTACCACAAAGATGGAAGCACAGCACCAGTAGTCCTCTTTAGGTTTGAAAAGCAATATTTTCTACAGCTAGGTTTATTGCTCTGGCTCACATAGAGTGACCGAAGGCTGCCAGCTTTGAGTGAGACCTAGAAAAGGAAAGTCTCTGCCAATAGGATCTGGAGGATCCTATGGTGTTGGAAGTGTCCGTGGTAGGAAATGATGCGGTATGGGCATATGTTAAGCTCCAGTGGGACAATCACTTTGCAGGCCCTTGGAATTCTGGCTCCTGCTGCCTCTGAATATTCAACCTGTCAGCAATAGAGACCAATGCTGAGCGCTTGATAGGGCACTTTTCCTTGAGGAGACTAACCAGCTACTTGGTGGCAAGTCAACTGCTTTGGGCCTCTCCCACAATGGCTGGGCCAGTGGTTCATCCTCACAGGAATATATGACTTATTTGGGGTATGGGTTTGCATTTCCTACCTGTAATGGCTCAGCCAGCATCACTATTTAGGGGCTTATGGAATCCCTGATCTACAGGCAGGGATTCTCACACAGCTTAGCATCCAAACATGGGAGCCTCTTCATAGTGAAGGAAGTGTGGAGTGGGCCCATGATCATAGGTCCACTGGTCATATCACATACTATACCAGCCAGGGGCAGCTGGTCTCAGAAAATGTTGAATAGCCTTTTAAAGGCACAGCTAAAGTGCCAGTGTGTGTATGGGAAGAATACATGGCTCTGGGAAGCAAGGGGTACAAGCAGAAGTAACCCCACTTACCATTACTCGCAATGACCCAGTGCGGTATTTTGTACTTCCTATCCCTGCACCTCTGAGCTTTGTAGAGTTGGAGGTTCTGATCTCTAAAGAAGGTGTACTCTTGCCAGGGGACACAGCAAGGATCCTATTGAACTATAAGCGATGGCTGCCACCAGGGCATTTTGGACTCCTGTGTCCAGGGACCAGCCTGAGAGAAGAGCCACCATATTGGCAGAAGTAATTGACCCTGATCAGCAGGAGAAGGTAAGGGTGTTTTTACCCAATGGGGACAGGGAGGGAATATGTGTGGAATCTCTGTGATGCAGTTGGGCATTTCCTGGTATTTCCTTGCCCTCTTGAATGGACACATGCAGCAACTCTAGTCTGAGAAGGATGTGGTTACCCACAGCATGATTACCTACTTCAGGAATGAAGGCTTAGGTCACACTACCAGGTGAATCAACAAGACCAGCCAAGGTGACAGATGACAGTGAGGGGAATTTAGAAAGGAGGAGGCAGAGTATGAGTACCAGTTGCAGGCCTGAGATCAGCAGCAGTGATGAGGGCTGTAGTTTTTTCCACTCAGTGGGCCCTTGCTTAGGAAGAGAGGCCCCATGGAACCATGGAGGAGCTGCTCCCCAGTCCCCTGTGGAGAAGGAGATGTGTGCGACCATGGGAATGTGTCTCTCAGATCTCCTACTGTGGGCAGCGTAGTTGATGCCCCGCCTGCTCTGATCTACCTACACCACCACATTTGCTCCGAGGCCACGTTTCCTGTGGTCTTTTTCCAGACAGTGGTGGTACGCAGCAGGCCCATTCCTGTGAGACAGAGGACGCCTCTGACAGATGATTTTGGCCTGAGGATTCTACATCAGCTTTCAGATACTCTCTGAAAGCTTCATGGCATTCTAAGGCCCCTCCTACCTTCCTTCTTTGCCTCGCTCCTTCTCACAGGTTAGATGTGTGTCACTGTCTGGCAGATCTCAGCCTTCTCTAGCTTTCTCCCCATTTTTTTCCACAGGCATTTCCCCCAGTTTCTTGCAAGTCTAGTCTGATCTTGGTGTCTACTTCTTGGACTTGAACTGACACAGGTAGGTAGAAATTTACTCACTTTATAGATGAAGAAACTGTGCTTCAGGGAGGTTGAGTAACCTGCTCAAGGTTGTATAACCAATAAGTGGCAGAGCCATGATTTAAATCCAGGATCATCTGGCTTCAAAGCCCATGTGCCTAGATTTCATATTTCTGTTTTCTTGCTTCTGCAGTTTCTGTTAGCTTCATTCTCCCCCAGTCTCCTGGAAAGGCTTTTGAATGTTCTAGTCTGTCTCTACCCTGCAAAGGCAGGAGGACTTTTGAGTACTACACTTGTAACAGAATGTGAAAGAAAGAACATTGTACTCTTGGGGTCAGTTACAGTTCTTGGGTTTAAAGAACCCACCTGGGAAGGAGAAATTAAGGGGACAGGGTTGCTGAACTTCCCCTCCCTTCCTGGAGAGTCTTTCTGGAGAGTTAAACCATGAAAGTTCAGAGTTTTGTTTTATAAGAGAAACTGTATGCCTTTATACCCATGATCTTACTAGTACTTGTCCCTCCTTTATGCCCCTCATCTTCTATGAATTTGTGAGTTTTCCTCTTAATTAAATACGACACAAAATTTTTAAGGAGTGAAAATCAAGGGCTTTGTGGACTTTGTGGCTAGGCATCACCTGTGGAATTCATTCACCCTTTCCTGATCACAGTTTCCCTCACTGCCCTGGCTGGCCTCAAGGAGATTGTGCTCTTTTACCATGCGGATTCTCACGTGAACATATGGTTTTTGTGAGATTCTCTATCGAAAGCTGGAATATCTGAATGAGATGTTAGTAAAGGATAACAAAAGGAAAACCAACCTAGGGAGTGCTGTCCTATTGCAGGCAACATGGCTTTCAAGTCAGGTTTGTTTTCAGAGTCTGCAGGATGCTTTCCATCCCTGGACAGCTCAGCCAAGGTCTTCCCTTCCTGGCCCTTTCCATTAGGTGAAAACCACTACCTTTTACAGGAGTGAGGCCAGCTAGCTGTCTGCCTCAGGGCCCACCTTAATTGTTCTGTTTCAAATAAATTGTTCCCTTTCTTTTTTGAGCACCCTTGCTTACCCTAGATGTTTGACACAGGGAGTCTCTTCACCCAACTGCTGAAACTCTATCCCTTTCCAGTAAGGATGCAGTTGCCACAGCGTATCATAATTTAACCTCTTCTCCTTGCCCATCTTCATCATCATTCTCATCTCTACTGGTTCATTCCCATGTTCTCATCAGCACACAAGCATGCTGTAATATACCATCTTAACAAAAAACAAACCACAGAACTGCAAATCACAGAACTACAAACCACAAACAGTACAGAAATGTACTCTATTCTACAACCATTTTCAATTTATGGCTCTTTTCTCTGTTTTCCTTTCTAGCATAACTCTTATCTGTTTCCAGTGCCTCTCTCCCCATTTTTTCCTGAACCTACCACATCAATTAGACTTTCATTCCTACCATTCCACTGAGAATGCTCTTGTGAAGGCCACCAGTGGCCTGCAGTTTATGAAACTCAGCATTTAATTCTAAGTCCCCATCTTGCTTATCCACTAGGCAATATTAACATAGTCGATCACTCCTTGGGACCTTCAAAACGATGTTCACTTGACTTTGGAGACACCACACTCCCCTGGTTTCCTGCCTATATCATGAACTGCTCCTCCTCATATTTTTTATCTCATATTTCTTATCATATCGGAGCGCCCTAGGACTCCGGCCTCAGACCTTTTCTCTACATATATTCATACCCTATTAAAGGTTGACAAACCACTTTTATAAAGGACCAGATAGTAAATATTTTTGGTTTTGTGCGCCATATGGTCTTTTACAACTACTCAAGAAGCCATAGACAGTACAAACATGAATGTTGAATTGATCAGTGTCATGATTGCTATAGGTATTCAGTGTTTTTTATGAGCCTTACATTGCTAAATAAACAATTTGTCAACCTGGTATTTTAGCATAGTTACCTGAGCATTACTGGAACTCAGAGGGAGGAAAAGTTCCCTACCTGTGTAGGGGAGGAGGGGGAGTTCTGTTTTGAAATGTCTGTATATTTCTCCAGGACCTTGTGCCCAATTTTGTTTAAAATTCAAGGGTTTTAAAAGGCTCAAGGCTCAATCTGAACTCTTTTTTCTTATTAATGTCAGCATTCAGCCTTTGCTTATCATGTGGGAGAAGGATGTGTGTAGGGGGTGGAGGGTGGCTTGGGCATGGCTGTGGGGAGGAATGAGGGACAGCTTCTTAGTAGGGTCTGAGAAAGAGGGAGGTTACTTTATTTGTTGAGATGGGGTGATTAAACTCCCAAAGTGAATTCTGAGAGACAGCTGCACACAGAAAAGAGATGGTGATTAGAACTAATTATTGTTGTTGTAGATGTTTTGCATTTCTATAGCACTTTGTATTTACAAAGAATTTTGTAATCGCTTATTAACTTTCCCCCACCAGAACCTTGTGACATAGGCAACAGTACCACAGATGTTTGTATTTTGTCTTCTGGGAAGAAATTTGAGCTGCTTTGGCCATATACTAGAATTAAGGAATCAAAATCCTTATTGCACCTCTTTTACTTCCTTTGTGACTTTGAGAATCCAAATAAGAACTTGAACACTGTTTTATTCTATAATTTTATTATGAAGAGTAACTCATGAAGATGGTTTAGTACTTTGCTAAATTAAAAAAGATATTATATGTAGGTACATAATAATACTAACTTCTCAAAAATTGTTTTCTTCAGATTTTTAAAAAATAAAATTAATATTAGTGTCTATATCATATTTTTACATATCAAGTGTTTAGCATAGTGCCTAGCGTATTTACCTAATGAGTGCTTAATAAATGTTATCCATTATTAATACTGTAACAAGACCCAAGTAACATAGGCATTCTTATTGCCTCCACTTGATTTCTTTCTTTAGTGTTCCTGTCTTTGGGTAAAGATGCATGCAGATGTACATTCACTTATTCAGCCATATTTATTGAGTGACTACTGTTTATCAAGCATTGTTCTTGGAGCTAGGTATAGAGCGGTGAACAAAAAAGGAGTATCTGCTCGCATGAAGCTTATATTCTGGCAGGATGGTGAGGACTCACATCATTGTGGAGGAGGGACTTACATTCTAGTGGGAGTTAGGCTGGGACAGAGAGGATAGAAGCATGATTAGGGTATATTTAGAATATGTGTGGAAAAACTTTTTCCTGAAATTTTTATATAAAAATAGTATTTTGTAATAGCAATAGGTTAAGTGTTTATGTTTAACCTATTCATTTTTATAAAAGTATTTAAATATATACTTGTTTATTTTATTTTAGAAAAAATATACTTAGGAATTTATAAAATATTTAAAGAAAATATTATTTTATTTATTATAATATAAATAATAATACCACCATACTGAAATTTTTTAAGATAGGAAAAGTATCTATAATTTCATTACAATATTATTCCTTTTAAGTCGCCTGCTTCAACATAGGAAAAATGGGCTCAGTTTCCTGACACTTGGGCATGGCTTGTAGCAGCAGACAGCTCAGTGGTATGGCAGCCGTGGGAAAGGATATCACATAAAGCCATCCTGAACTCCCTTAGCCCAGAGCCTGCTTTGAAGGGATGAGGTAAAGGGAGGGGAATATTGGCCATGCTGAAAAAGATCAGGTAAAGATGAGTAGACTGGATAAGGATTAAATCCCTGGGACATGCCAGGTGCCAGAAGACCAGAGAGAAGGTTCTGGAGGTCGAGAGGAGCCCCAGGTTCTCACTGTTGCCTTCTCAACCTCAGGTGATTTCTGGGGAAACAGTTGCACCTACCCCCCCAACGTAAAGACTTAACACTTTTCTTTCTGTTAGTGTATTAGGGCTGTGGATTGACATGCAAGCCAGAGTCCTTGCTAAGATGACCCTGAAACAAGTTAATTTGGAGTTCCACAATCTGTGATTTTGGCCTCTTGCCCTCTTTTCCAGCTTCAACCAATGTCTTCTCAGTCTGGGTTCTTGCCTGGATACATCTAAATTGTGATGCAGTTTCCCAATTTATTCCTCACTCTTCGGACACTGAAATGAGTTGATGAACAACTTGAAGATTTTTAAGGTCAGAATTAGAGTTATGGAATTGAAAAATATGCCCAAAAAGGTCATCTGGGAAGTTTCTCTCCATGTTCCTGACCCTGTCTGAAAGTTTCTCTGTTTCTTTGTCCTGCTTAAAACTTTAGTTCTCTGACAGCAAGATTTCATAAAATAAGACCAGCAGTCACACAAACAGTCACCAACAGTCATACCAGAAATCTTCATGAATATCAGGAGTAAATGTCCCCGATCTTGATGGAAATGTGTTGGGGGCTCTTCTGCTTCTTCTAGGCCCCTTCCTGAGACACTCCCTGGATTCTGCTCTGGGTGTGAGCACTAGCTGCAAAGCCCTTAAGCTTTCTTTATTCTGGACACTAGGCCCACTGGCTTCCTGGCACCTCCTTTAAGGGTGCAGCCTCCATGCTTTGTCATTTTGTTGGAAAATCCTATAAGGGTTAGGAACAAGAGATGTTGTTTTAGGAGAAAACTCCCAAATGGTGTCTCTGATCTCGGGTTCCTTCTGTTTTACCAAAGGAAAAGTCAGCCAGGTCATCCGCTGACATGAAGAGACCCAGGCGGGAGTCCACAGCAGCACTTCAGTGCACTGAGAAACCTGCATAAACAGATGCCTTGTCCCAAGTGCTGAGAATTTAAACTTCAGGCTTGCATGAAGCCCCTAGATACGTTAGGGAGACAACCAGCAGTTTTTCTATTTTACATGGAAATGCTAATCTCACTTGCAGAAGAGAAGTACCAAAATAGTATTATGATTATAACAGTAGAAATGTAGGAGTGTGGAATTTGTAATGTTATAGACAAATTAAGCACGAAATGCAAATACCACATCAGAGTGGGCTGTGTATCCAGATCTCAGCTGAAATTCTCGGAAAGGGTTACAATGGCTAACTAGTGCAGCTGAATAAAGGGCTGCGGTGTGAGGAGATGGAGGGGGTAAAAATAGGTGATGTAGAAAGAGGAGGAGGCAGTCTTAGGTTTGTGACATCTCCTCAGCTCTTCTGGGGAAGTTGTTCATAGATTTGAATATCTACAGTAATGAATTCTCCCACTGAAATACGTATACTTGAGAATTAATTTAATAACTGTTACTTGGGAGGATAATACAGACTGCTGCTTATGATGACGTGACAACTTGAAGACTTAGTACGTTTGGGCTGCTATAACAATACCATAGACTGGATGGCTTATAAATAGCAGGAATTATTTCTTTTGGCTGTGGAGGCTGGGAAGTCCAAATCAAGGTGCCAGTCAGTAGATTCAGTGTTTGGTGAGGACCCAGTTCCTGGTTCCTAGATGGCCATCTTTTTGTTGAAATCTCAGATGGTGGAAAACAGAGGGGGAAGCAAGCTCTATCATGACCCTTATAAGGGTACAATCCCATTCATGAGGGCTCCACCTCCATGACCTCATCTAATCCTAATTACCTCCCAAAGGCCCCACTTCCTAATACCATCACATTGGGGTTAGGGTTTCAACATGTGAATTTGTAAGGGGGGTCATAAACATTTAGTCCATACAGAGACATTTGATAACCTGCAAATCTGATTGCTTCAATCCTCTGCTCAGAGTGCTCCAATGGATCCTAGTGCCAATAGCACAAGTCACTCATTATTTATTGGTTTGCTCATATTATTTTTTTCATTCTTTCCATAAATATTTGTTGAGTAGCAGTCTGTGCTAGGTGCTGGAGATGTAGCAGTAAAGAAGACAGATAAGGGAGACCCACCCCTCTTGGAGCTTGTATCTTGTGGAGACAGACAATAAACAAATCATTTAAATGGAGGTGGTATTTTAATAATAAACTAATGTGGATTTGTTTCACAGACATCCTAACCCCAATCATGTTTCCCAAATCCAATCGTATTCCCTTGTAGCCATCCCACCAGTATGTTCTCCACCATAAAGAAGAACCATATGATAGAGGGGAAACTCCCTCCAGAGAAAATGATGAAGTAAAAGAAAGCACTTTCATTGAGAGTAGGGGTATGGAGGTGGGAGGATGTTACAGAAATATTCAGATAGTGCGAAGGTGATCTGAGACCCTTTGAGCCTGATGGCAGGTACAAACCTTGGAGAAGCTCTATGTTTGATGTGGAGGTGGGGAAGGGGAGAGTAGGCAACGAAGGAGCATCTGTGAAGGCAAGCGTCTGGGTAAAACTCCTCCCAAAATGCTGCTTGTTCTCAGTGGTCTGTATTTAGAATGTAGAGATTCAACAGTCCCTGTGTAGCCCTAGAGTACTGTGAGGACAGCAAGACCAAGGGACACCGGAGCCACTGAGATGATGGCCGTAATGGAGGTTGGTGGTGGTGCTTGTTGATCCCAAGTGGATTCCAGGACAGAAACTAACAGTCAGGGGCGGATTAGAGATAAACAGGGTGAAACAGCTCAATTGAAGACCAGCAGAAAAAGAGTACGGAGGGCTTCCCTGGTGGCGCAGCGGTTGAGAGTCCACCTGCCGATGCAGGGGACACGGGTTCGTGCCCCGGTCCGGGAAGATCCCACATGCCGCGGCTGGGCCCGTGAGCCATGGCTGCTGAGCTTGCGCGTCCGGAGCCTGTGCTCCGCAGCGGGAGAGGCCACAACAATCAGAGTCCCGCATACTGCAGGAAAACACACACACAAGAAAACCAAAGAAAAGAAACAAAAAAAGAGTACGGAGACCAGCTGTACTCCCATGTTTCCAGGGAAGAGTAGTAGACACTGTGTATGAGAAGCGGGAGGGGGAAGGGAAGAACACTCTTATGAGGGCTGAACTTCAAATTGGCTTAATACTTACCAGAAAGTGACTATCACATGTGAAAAAATCAAGGGGCAAAGGAGAGAATGAAAAGAAGCCTGGACTGATAGGAAAAGTTTAGCTCATGAGAGTCTTTTTTTTTTTTTTTGCCACGAAGCAGAAGCATAATATTTGTCAGTTGATTAATGTTTTAAAACACAAGGTTCATGATGCCATGCCCCTACTTAAAATCCTTCAATAATTTTCCGTTACATTTAGAATGAATCCTAAATCTTTAATAGGGCCTAAAAACCTCTATGATATTGTGGCCCTCCAACGTGTTGTAGTACTGCTTCATTTTAATCTCACCAGTCAGAATAGTAATAAGCTAATATTTACTGAACAATTACAAACACCCTATGAGGTAGGTATAAATGAGGAAACCAAGGTCCAGAGAGGTTATGTAACTTTTCCAAGGTCACACAGCAAGTTGGGGGCATAGCTGGGATTCAAACCCAGGCCATTTGACTTTGGAACCTGGGCACTTCATCACCACACTGTACTGTCTGTTTCAGTTCCTCATAGTGCAAGTGCTTTCCCACTTCAACCCCCTTGTGTACATTATTCCCTGTCTAAAACGTTCTTCTTCAAGTAAACTCACTCTTTCAGTTTCACCCTAAATGTCACTTCCTCTGCAAAGCTTTCCCTGATAGCCATATCCCAAAGGTTAGGTTACATGTCAGTCCTATACACAATCAGGATACCCTTCTTATTCCTAAGTAGCACTTTTTGTAATTTTATATTTATTTTGTGTGATAATATAGTGCTGGTGGGAGGTTGGGTCAAAAATTTTAAACTTGAACACATACACCAAAAAAAGTAGCTTTAAAAAAAAAAACCTGACCTCAATTCCCTGGTGGTCCAGTGGTTAGGACTCTGCACTTTCATTGCTGAGCGCCCGGGTTCCATCCCTAGTCAGGGAACTAAGATTCCACAGGCTGCGGTGCTGCCAAAAAAAAAAAAAAGCTGATCTAATCTTACTTTTGAGCGCCAGCCCCCTTGTTTGTATTTCTGACTTGTTTTGAAGAGCATTAGGAAAGTCCTTATATGTATAGATAAGTGGTTGTAAAATGTAACAATTTATTTTTACGTACTGTCTTTCAGTCTCAGGATTTTCTTCAGTTAAATAGAGCCATTAGAGAAGTTTTATTCCAATTTTTGTAAGACTTCATAGTTTGGTATAGTTTCCAGTGTGTTAAAAATTAGTAGAGGGAAATAGAATTACCATATGACCCAGCAATCCCACTACTGGGCATATACCCTGAGAAAACCAAAATTCAAAAAGAGTCATGTACCAAAATGTTCATTGCAGCTCTATTTACAATAGCCCGGAGATGGAAACAACCTAAACGCCCATCATCGGATGAATGGATAAAGAAAATGTGGCACATATATACAATGGAATATTACTCAGCCTTAAAAAGAAATGAAATTGAGCTATTTGTAATGAGATGGATAGACCTAGAGTCTGTCATACAGAGTGAAGTAAGTCAGAAAGAAAAAGACAAATACCGTATGCTAACACATATATATGGAATTTAAGAAGAAAAAAAATGTCATGAAGAACCTAGGGGTAAGACAGGAATAAAGACACAGACCTACTGGAGAACGGACTTGAGGATATGGGGAGGGGGAGGGGTGAGCTTTGACAGGGCGAGAGAGAGTCATGGACATATACACACTAACAAACGTAGTAAGGTAGATAGCTAGGGGGAAGCAGCCGCAAGGCACAGGGATATTAGCTCGGTGCTTTGTGACAGCCTGGAGGGGTGGGATAGGGAGAGTGGGAGGGAGGGAGACGCAAGAGGGAAGACATATGGGAACATATGTATATGTATAACTGATTCACTTTGTTATAAAGCAGAAACTAACACACCATTGTAAAGCAATTATACCCCAATAAAGATGTTTAAAAAAAAAAAATTAGTAGAGGGCTTCCCTGGTGGCGCAGTGGTTGAGAGTCCCCCTGCCAATGCAGGGGACACGGGTTTGTGCCCCAGTCCGGGAAGATCCCACATGCTGCGGAGCGGCTGGGCCCGTGAGCCCTGGCCGCTGAGCCTGTGCGTCCGGAGCCTGTGCTCCACAATGGGATAGGCCACAACAGTGAGAGGCCTGCGTATCGAAAAAAAAATAAAAAATTAGTAGAGGGCCCATTAGAGAGTGCATGCTATTGTGTATTTATTTTAAAAAAGTAAAATGTTTATGGATAAAACAGAGCAATGGGCTTGCATGCCATCATGCTTATAATTGAAACTAGTAGTCCCAGGTAGAGTATTTGCTGGTGCTAGGGGTTAGGTTCCAGGGGCTGATGCTAAGATGCGTAACTTACTGAAGCAGCAAAGAACAGGATGATTAGGAAGAGTTATAAAGAAAGTTTGTAAGAAAAACTGAGAGTCAAGCTGAGAAGCCAAAAGCAGTTGAGACATCTGGTGGCAGGATCAAGGCTGAAAATGAGAGAAAAATGAGAAAAATGCACATACAGGTTTTTGTGTCATCAGAGGCTTTCATTTCACTTAGGTAAATACCTGGGACTGGGATAACTGGGCTGTATGGTAAGTCTGTTAAATTTATAAGAAACTGCTAAAATATTTTCCAAAGTAGCTATACCATTTTGCATTTCCACCAGCAATGTATGAGAATGAGAGTTCCAATTGTTCTACATCCTGATTGGCACTTGATAACATCAGTTTTTTGTTGTTGTTTTGGTTTGGATTTTAGGCATTCTATTAGGTTTATAATAGTATCTCATTGTGGCTTTAATTTGCATTTCCCTAATGACTAATAATATTGAACATCTTTTTACGTGCTGATTTGTCATCTGTGTATCTTTCTTTGGTTAACTGTCTGTTCAAGGCTTTTGTCCATTACAAAACATTACAGATTATTTCCTGTTCCTCTACATCCTTGCTAGCATTTGGTGTTGTCAATGTTCTGGATTTTGGCCATTTTAATAGGTGTTTAGTGGTATCTCATTGTTTTTTGTTTTTAAATTTAACATCTTTATTGGAGTATAATTGCTTTACAGTGTTGTGTTAGTTTCTGCTGTATAACAAAGTAAATCAGCTATATGTACACATATATCCCCATATCCCCTCCCTCTTGTGTCTCCCTCCCACCCTCCCTATCCCACCTCTCTAGGTGGACACAAAGCACCAAGCTGATCTCCCTGGGCTATGCAGCTGCTTCCCACTAGCTATCTATTTTACATTTGGTAGTGTAAAATAGGGGCTACTTTTCGTTACAGTGCACGGGCTTCTCATTGCGGTGGTTCCTCTTTGTTGTGGAGCACGGCCTCTAGGTGTGCGGCTTCAGAAGTTGTGGCACGTGGGCTTTAGAGTGCAGGCTCAGTAGTTGTGGTGCATGGGCTTAGTTGCTCCGTGACATGCGGGATCTTCCCGGACCAGGGCTCAAACCATGTCGC